TTCAAAATTTCCTACCAACTGAAAATATTAGGTGTGTCCCGCGCGCTCATATGATCTATGCAGTTGCGAGCGCCGTAAAACACTTTACAAAAACAAAAACAACAAACAATAACTAACTAGCCATTCCCCCCTTTTCTCCACCCGAAATCTCAGCGGGCCTCCTCTGCCTTGCTACAGTTCTCCCCTCTAAAGTCTGACCTGCAGTAATCCAGACTGCTTTTATATTACACTTGCACCAAACAATACAACTGAACTGAGACTCACTCACTCTTTCTGCTTTACACACTTTCAGCCAAATAATGCAATAGGCTAGGCCTAACCCCCTGCCACTGACCAACACGCCAGATTGCAAATTAAACAACCAATAAATAGACCACAACAATAGAATCATCCTAGATTCGAGTGTAGGCTGTCACCGTCAGATAGATCCAACACAACTATAGGAAAAAGTTTTTTCTTAACTGGTTTCAAGCCTTTTTAGGTCAGTCGGTATTTAGATCACATGGACACTCTCTCAGTTCCCTCGTTGAGCTCTGAGTCTCTGTCCACAGCATGTCGGTTTTTGTTTGTTTGTTTGTTCATATGTTCGTTTATATTTGTGGAGTGTGCTGACAAAATGAGTTACTTCACAGATTCAAGCCTTAAGGAAATAGATACATCATGCTAATAGGTGAAGTTTTTACAGTTTATATATATATGAAATAATAAAAGACAGGTTATAGTTAAAGAATATGTCACCAATTGAAAATCTACTAATTCGACCCTAATATCGAATTCTGGCCAATGTCTCCTTTTGTGGATTGCCAGAAGTAACTCATTTTGTCAGCATGCTCACATTTGTTTGATCGTGTATTTCTTCCTTTTTGAGAGGTAGGACTTCCAAAACATCCTTCTCCGATACAAAGAATGAGAATTTCTCTCATGTAAAACGTGTTGTTTTAGTATGAGCGTCGTCTCTTAGACTCTCAGACTGGCAACCGTAAGGGCGTGGGTTCGAATCCCGTCAGGGGCCCGACGTTGTATCCTTGGGTAAGGCACTTTATACAACATTTCCTCACCTCATCCAGGTGGGAATGGGTACCCAGCTATAGACAGTGAAAGTTCTTGTCAGATTGTTAGTGTTTGATGGGCACTTAATCAGCTGCTTGCACTGTATGTTTCTCGGGAAACTGAGAATGTTTCTGAGTGTTTCATAGTCTTATGGGGTAATATAGTGCAAAAAACGTGTTCACTATAAAGTTAATTTATTGTAACAAGTTTTCCCACTAAAAAGTGTCATTGGCGAGCTGTGGCATAGGCCATAATATAATGCGTATACAAAATGTTCGTGAGAAGCGGGAAATACTGTGAACAATCCCTTTTTACTCGTGACGGAGATTTATAGTATTTTATATTAATTTATGAAGATTTTTTTTCTATCTAGATCTAGCCTCAATATTATCATAGTAAATACATGTAATATGTCTAAGTTCAGACAAACTGATACAAACTGCTGTGCAAAGTGTGGGTGACACCGATCCACCCGTAAAAGAGATATTTGAGGATAAGATGCGCCACGAAGTTTTGACCGGACTCTTGTTATAATTTTCAGTTTTTGCTTTTGTCTGTTTTGACCTGTTTCTTGGCTTGTTCTGTTTTGTTTATCGATGCAAAGGGTGGTTTAAAAAAAAATCAGAAACAGCTGGAGTCACATAGCGGTAATTACAGTCGAACCTACTCTAACGGCCACCTGTACAAGACAATCAGCTGTACAAACGATTGCTTCTTACTTGGCTGTTTTTGTTTTTGTTGTTGTTGTTTTTTCTTTTGGTAAGAGTTTTACGGTGCTCGCAACTGCACGCGGGACACACCAAAAAATTTCA